GCGTGGCCGCAGCCCGCCGAGGGATCGGAAAATCCGCTCCGAACGCTCGTCGTATCGTGATGCTCCGTACAAAAGGGACTCTCGCCGCAACTTCAGGTTTTTTTCTTTTAATTGTTTGTATAATTAAGTTTTATTACCATGGAAGCTAATTATTGCCATTTATACTTTTTATGTTGATTCGCTTTTCCTAATATCTTTTTGGGGAATTTACGTACATGGCACACAATTCTTATGTGTTTACATGTCTCCCATTTAAAATTTCATATTTACACATACAACACCCAAATATTTAATATCACATAAAAAATAGACTTATTATCACTTTTTAAAAGTCAAATACATTTTTCCATGCATAAGTTCTAAGCACCAAAGTGCTATGTATTTAAATATGGAAGTTTAGGTGTGAGATATGTAAATACATAAGAATTGTGTGCTACATGTAAATTTTTCTTTTTTTACGGCACATTTACTTTTGTAGGTAGTCTTTCTTTATTATATGTTGCTATAATGAAATATTCTTATGCTCTTGAGGTATATATTGTTGAAATTATATGACATTAGAAAATTGTAGTTGTTTATTTCTGAAATAGTGGTTACTTTATGCTTGGGTGTTTTAATAAATCACATTTTCGATTCTAACTTCACCTTTTAGTATTGAATCATCTTTCATGAACTAATAAATAAATCCATAATGTGGTTGAAATCTTTGTCCATTTTTTTTTTGATATCTTAACATTAAAAGTAAAGTTGAATATTTAGAACTTATAGGATTTGTTATGGGCATTTTCCTTGCCAAAGTAAAAGATGGCTTGTTTATATGCTTTGATTCCAAATTTGGATTGAGCACATTGGCCTATTTGCAGTTTTCTAAGAATTAGTGTGTAGTGATGAAATCTTCATCTAATAGCTTTGTATTAGTTTCTTATGTTAAAGTTCGGCCTAAAAGCTATTATATATCGATACATAAAATCATAAGATACGCAAATTAGTTGTGTTGCATCATTGTTAGATAATTTTTGATAATTTGGTGATGCACTGTACATTGTTTTTATTTTTTTGGGATTTATGAACATTTAAATGGTGTGATAGTTGTATCAATTTACTCATAAATGCCAAGTTGATGTTTATAAGAGGAAACAATAGTTGACAGAAATGCAATGTATAGTTTGTCTACTACATCATATGGCAAATGGCATCTCCTAAACTATTATGGAAGCTTAACTTGAGAATTTACAATTTTAACCTTGTTTGATATAAACCCAACATAAGATAAATTGGAGCATCGCATGGTGCAATGACTTATGATAAACAATATTTTATTATAACTTGATTGAAATCAATTCAACATAAATCTGATTTTTGATTAAACAAATGAACAATTCAAATTTTCATTTATGTTTCGAAGGCTTAATGACAACTCGACCTGGAATCAAGTCCTAAACATATTTTCTTTGAATGTAACACCCTTAGACTTAGGAAGCACGAGACATTCATCTTTACAGTCTACTAATTGATAGAAACCTACTTTGATAAAATTTCTCTACAACGAACGAACCTTCCCATGCTGGTTTACAATTGATCAATGGGCTAAAATTGATTTTTAAGGACTAAAACCAACTCAATCACATGGAAAGTTTGGGTTGTACTAACTTGTTTTGTGATTGAACTATCCTATGTTTGGTAGAGTTTGAGATTTTGTTTGGTCATCAAACAAGTTTCTTTCAATCCTTCAAATTCTTCTCATCATAAGTGGGCATTCAGTTTTGGAGGATTTGTCAAGCAGGTGGCAATTCTTAATGAGGGAAGTTGAATTTTTAGGGGAAGCATGACTTCAAACTCATAGACTAGCAAAAATTGAATAAATTGAGTTGGGGTTCTCTATGTAGTTCGGTAAGCCAACAGAGCTTCCACCAAATGCTCATGCCATTGTCGTTTATTCTTTTCAAATATCTTTTTCAAAATCTGTACTAGTGTTTTGTTGAAAGCTTCAGTTAATTCATTTGTGTGATGATTGTAGATCGTTGAGTATCATAAGTTAATATTATGTTGCCTTGCATTATTATTGATTTTGATATTCTTAAAAGGCAGGACCATTGTTCGATATGATTGAGTGAGAGATGCTAAACCTATAAACGATTTAGTTCTCAAAAAATTGTAGTATATGATTTGCTTTCACATCTCATTGAGCAATGCCTTCCGCCCATTTCGAGTAGTTCGTTGTTACCAATATAAGTCTTTGCGTTTTGGATGGAGGATGATCAATATGTCTTATATTATCTGTGTCCAACATTCGAAAGGTCATTAAGCTATTGTTCAATATAGTATGTTTGGTGGTTGATGTAGAACTATACCATGACTTGACAGTGATGGCAGTGTTGAACAGTTTGATCATTGTTGACCAGTAATATCACATTTTTTTAATCTTACAGATTGTTTGGGGCAGCTGCAGCTTATTAGTAAGCCGCTGAAAAATTATCTGGTTATTAGTAAGCTGCTGAAAAATAATTTGCTTATTAATAAACTACAATGACTATTGCAACTTTTCTTTTTTTGAAATAGCCAGACTGTAGCTAGAAAGATGCCCTGCCTCTGCACCTAGCTAGGAATGGTGTGAAAACACTGATTTTAGCGATTTGAAAATGCAACTTTTTAAAAAAAATGTCAAAACATAGTTTATCCAAACGAGTCTGTGCGCGTTTTCAAAATGCACCGCACCAAATAAGCTGCCCCAAACAGGGCCTTAGTTTTCATTTTAGGGCCAGAATGGTGGGCACCGCATAATCCAGAGTGCCCCTCTTTAACAATCTTTTGGGCTTCCTGCTTATTCAAACAACGTTATCACATATAATTGAAAGAACTTCTGTAGAGTGCAGTATCTAAGAGGGTAAAAGATAGTGCTCTCAATTTGATTTGGTGTGCGAGAGACTTGTCTTCGGGAAGTTTGTCGTCTCGTAATTAGTCTACGGAAGGTCGTCTCCAGCCTGAAGATTCCTCTTGTGCAGTTGTGGAATTCCACTTGATCTTTGGGCTTTAATTTATATATATATTCCATATCAATTAGGGAGAGGACCCAACAACATTAGACTTCAACTAAGTTAGATTCTTCTTCCAAGCCAATTAGCTCTTTAGCAGTCTTTTGAAAGCATGCACAATGGTATTACTACCACGAGGTATTTGATATAAGATGATGCTTAGTATTTGCTCAAGAAATTTCGTGGTACATTGATGATTCTAATGAATCTTGGGTTTAATGATCTTGTAAGTCCTAAAAAATTAGTTGATTATCAATTGAGTCTATAAAAATTATAATCTTTTTAATTTCCATCAAGATAGTTAAATTCAAACCAGTGATTAGAGTTTTGTACTTTGCTTTATTATTGGTACATGACTCTGACAGGTGATGAATCTTAACATTTCTCGATTAGGGTTTCTAAAGATCAATCCTATTCCTGCTTTGTTTGGGATGGTCATATGTGCGTTGACATCCTTCTTGGCGAATTCTCCGTAACAGAATGTCCAGTTATGACGAGAAAAACTTGAAGGATTGGAAGAAGCCCATTTGACAGTCAAAACAAAATCTCAAACTGTAACAAACACAGATAGTTCAAGCACATGACAAGTTAGTTTGACCCCAAACTTTCGTGTGGGTGAGTTTAGCCCGCCAAAAGATCGGTGGTAAGTTTCAGCTAACATGGAAATGTCTGTTCGTAATAGAGTTTTTATCAATGTGGTTCCTATTAATTAGTAGATTGTAAGCGTGACTCTCATGTTTCCAATTAATTTGCATTACATGAAGAAAAATTATATATAAAATGTCTTAGAGTTGCATTAAAAAAAAATGTTTAGGACTTCGTTAAGGGTCGAGTTGTGATTTGAGTGCTCGAAACTTTAATAAAAAATTAAATTGTTCATCTGTTCAATCCTCTTAAATTTTAAGAAGTTCCTATTATGTATCTTTTAGAAGCTTTTGCTTTCCCCATTAGATGGGATGCTTTTAATTTTCTTATTTTCATTGTAGGCAATATTCGCATCCAACATCGGCTACTCACTCTTTTAAAACAATTTTCTTTTTTCCATAACCATTTGTATCTTCCCCTCGAACCACCTATTCTCCTTATTAATTTATCTCTATTTTTAGACATCTAAATTTTCTATGGCAATATTTTTTAATGGAACTAACTATAAAATTTCATAACGCCATATTAGGATATTTTATCCATAATCACACCAAATGTTGTGTGGTAAAAGTTTCTCATCGAATCATCTTACAATTTTTGTAAGTAAAATTTAGCTTTTTCAAGAGTTTCAACCAACCTTTCAATCATGCAACCACCGAAACAATTCTGAATTACTGTTCGAATCATGGTATTGGTTAAGTTTGTAGCAATTAATAAGCTGTGCAATCTAAGGTTTCATTTTAGGTTAATCCCTGCTTTCTGATATTTTAAATCGATTTGGCTTTTACTCTCTCGATAAAGCCATGAAACAACTTTATTGAGATAACTTTTTACTTTAATTTGCTTTAAATTTTGATAGTTTATCATTCACTTTGGAAATCGTTGTTATCTTTAATTTTGCTTTGTCCCTTGGTTATGAAATTTAGGGGCATTTACAGACATACCCCCCAATTCCTAGGTCTTTACATATCTAACACCTAAACTTTGCTTTTTTACATTTATATCACCCAAATCTTTCATATCACATAAAAAATATAACTATTTTAACTCTTAAAAAGTAAAATACACCTATTCATGCATTGGTAAGGTGGTATTATAAATTTATTGGTGTAGGTGTTAGATATGTAACTACATAAGAATTGAGTGGTATTATTTAAATCTTCCTAAATTTATTGGTTACACAAGTAATCAATAAAAGATATAACTATTGGTTACACATAAAAAATATAACTGTTTTAACTCTTAAAATGTATAATACACCTTTTTATGCATGGGTAAGGTGGTATGCATTTCAAAAATTGAGGTTTAGGATTTAGATATGCAAATACATAAGAATTGAATGATATCATGTAAATCTTCCTAAAATTTATTGGTTCCACAAGTAATCTATGTGTTGGGCACCATCTAGAAAGTTTATACTGAAGTATTTTGAGGAGGGTTTTTATCATTGTGATCTTTTTTCTGTGAGGGTTGTAAATATCAGTGAAACTTACAGCTCTGCGTTTAAGTTGAAACAACCTGTGCTGCAAATACCGAAAGATGTTCCTATTTTGGGAAAGCTCAACTCAAACGATCCTATTAATTCGAAGGAATTTAGGGGCATTTAAATGGATACCATTCAATTACTACGTATTTACATATCTAAGAGATTTTTACATTTATATCACAAAAAATACTACCATTTTAACATTTAAAATGTGAAATGCACCTTTTCATGCATTGGTAAGGTGGTATGTACGTAAAAATTGAAAATTTAGAGTTTAGATGTTATTTTTGTAATCGTTTGTTTTCTATTTTTATATATGCTAATCATATGATTATATCTGTTGTTGGTATTTGTTTTTTCTTACAATAAACTGATGTTCATAATGTTTATCAGTAAAAAATTGATTATTTTTTTTAATGTAACGCACCTTTAAATTTTATTGAGATTTTACAATAGTTTTCTTCATATCCTAAGCCTTATCATACCTTTTATTTATTTATTTCTTTTTTTTTGGACATTTACATACATACCACCCAATTCTTATTTATTTGCATATTTAGCCCCTAAATTTTAGATTTGTTCCGACCAAATCTTTTATAGCGCATAAAAAAATACAACTATTTTAACTTTTAGAAAGTGAAACACACCTTTTCATGCAAAGTAAGGTTTCATATATATAAAAATTGAAGTGTAGTTGTTTGATATGGTAAATACATAAGAATTGAGTGGTATGTGAATCTTTCTTTTTTTTTTGTTTGGCATTTACGTACATAGCACTTAATTTTTATGTATTTACATATCTCATACCTAAACTGCTTTCTTTTTTTTTTGGGCATTTACATACATAGTACTCAATTTTTATGTATTTACATATCTCGTACCTAAACTTTCATATTTACAAACATAGAACTTTGGGGCTCAGGTGCTCAATAACTATGCATGAAAGTTTATTTCACTTTTAAAAAGTGGAAATACACTTTCATTTATACATAAGAATTGGGTGCTAGGTATGTGAATCTTTCTTTTTATTTGGTGCATTTACATAAATAGCACACAATTCTGATGTATTTACATATCTCATACCTAAACTTTCATATATACACGCATAACACTCAAAGCCTTAATATCACATAAAAATAACACTACTTTTCACCTTTTAAAAGTGAAATACACTTTTTCATGCATAGTTATTAAGCACCAAAGTGCTAGGTTTGTAAATATGAATGTTTAGGTGTGAGATATGTAAATACATAAGAATTGTGTGCTAGGTGTAAATTTCCCTTTTTTAAAAACTTCCGCATGTATAAAATAAACTCTTATACGGTTGGTAGTGATATTTTCTCACTTGATCTTTGTTTCCAGGAGACCAGAACTCTGCATGAACTGCAAGAGGCCTGGACATTATGCTAGAGAATGTCCTAACGTGGCAGTCTGCAACAATTGCGGTCTTCCTGGGTAAAAATTCTATTTCATTGTCTTGGCCATTTTTTTATAAATTTTTTCTTTTAAAATATTGCAGAATTATGCTGGGCCTTAACTAAATCATTACTTTCTTCTTTTATGCAATTTGTTTCGAAGTATGGTTCAGTTTGAGGTGGCTGAGTAGTTGTTTGTAAAATTGGTTGCGAAATTTGTTGCAGGTGAGGCAAATTTTTTTATTTTTTTATAGGTGATGTGTATTTTTCTCTTATAGGTTTGGCTGTAGAAAGCCCCTCCCCGCCAAAATTTTTGAGAAAAGCAAAATCTGACAGAACTGTGACAATTATTTGTTAAGTAAAAAAAAAGGTCTCATTTAGGATAAGTTTGCTTTTTGGACAATCATTTTTTTGGGAAATTTAGGTACATACACCACAATTACTATGTATTTACATATTAGAACCTAAACAATCATATCTACACTCATACGACTCAAATCTTTAACATTCATTACTATCTTTTTAAAAGTGATATACACCTTTTCATGCAATAGGTTTATAACACCGATATAAGTGTAAAGAGCTAACTTTTGGTGTTAGATATGTAAATACATAAAAATTATGGTATGTATGTAAACCTCCCTTTTTGGCTATAATTTTGTTTGTTGCTTTTCAGAAATTTTTATTAAGAGCCGTAATTGCAAGAAAGTTTACTATTTTTTTTGTCAAATTAGGATAAAAAGGAATTTTTACATACATACCACTTAATTCCTACGTATTTACATAACACCTATACTTCAATTTTTACATAAATATGCGACCTTACCTATGCATGCAAAACTGAATTTCACATTTTAAAAGTTAAAATAGTGAAGATTATGATATGATTATGAACATTTTGGCAGAATGTGAAAAGTGAAGTTTAGGTGTAAGATATGTAAATACATATGAATTGGGTGGTATATGTATGTAAACTTCTCAAAAAAATTATAATAGCCAATTAGCCATAACAGTTTAAAAAAAAAATCACATAATACAACAATTTTTACAGAACTGCAACTGTGTCCGAGACATACCCTTAGAAACAGCAATACCTGCTTTCTTCAAAGAGTTGCGGCAATTATACCACCTAAATCTTTCATATCTCATACCTAGACCTTACTTTGTACATTTATACCATGCATATCTTTCATATCCATTGTAACTTTTAAAAGTGAAATACATCTTTTCATGCATAGGTAAGAGGCCACGCTGGGAAAAATTGAAATTTTGGTGTTAGATATATAAATACTAGGATTTAAGCGGTATAGTATGTAAATCTTCCAAAAGAGTGGGCATTTGCATGCATACCACCCAATTCCTGCATATTTACATATCTAACACCCTAAACTCTACTTTTTTACGTTAATATTGCCCAAATGTTCAGATCACATAAAACATATCATAATTTTAACTTCTAGAAAGTGAAGTCCATCTTTTCAATGCATCGGTAGGTTGGTAAGTTGACATATGTGTAAAACTTGAAGTTATCTCAAAACCACCCAAAAGAAACTAAATGTTATCCCACCAACCTCTCTTTTCTTCCTCTTCTCCCAGCCACATCGCTGCTGAGTGCTCCACCAAAGCCCTCTGCTGGAACTGCAAGGAGCCCGGCCACGTAGCCAGCCAATGCCCCAACGAAGGCATCTGCCACACCTGTGGAAAATCCGGACACCGCGCCCGTGACTGCCCCAACCCCCAACTCCCGCCCGGTGATCTCCGTCTATGCAACAACTGCTACAAGCAGGGCCACATTGCTGTCGATTGCACGAACGAGAAAGCCTGTAACAACTGCCGCAAAACCGGCCATCTCGCTCGAGATTGCTCTAACGAACCCGTCTGCAACCTCTGCAATGTATCGGGCCACGTCGCTCGTCTGTGCCCTAAGGCTGATGCCATCGGGGGTGACCGAGGCGGCGGCGGGGGCGGCTTCTACCGTGGCAGCGGCGGTTTCCGGGATGTCGTATGCCGGAGCTGTAATCAACTTGGCCATATTAGCAGGGATTGTGTGACACCGATGATGATTTGTCATAACTGCGGGGGCCGCGGCCACCTTGCTTATGAGTGCCCGTCGGGAAGGTTTTTGGATCGTGGGCCTCGAAGGTATTGAGCTTATTGGTTTAATGGTTTAGTGGAAATGAGGTTTGGAAACTCTTTAGGTGAGTTTTTCTTGGTTTGAGTATCTTTAATTTGTGTTTCTCTGTTTGTTTCTTATTGGATTCGGCGAGTTATAACACTAAGAGTTTGTATTTGAAAGGATTTTTTCTACTATTCTGCAACTTAAATTTTCTGCTTCCAGAGTTCGTTGTGTTTCTATGTTTTGGGAGAATTTATTGCTGTTGATGATTTGGCAGTAGTACAGAATTTAGTTTTTTTTTTTCCAACGAGAACTTGAGTTTGATCTAAAAAAAAAAAAGGGGCACTGACATAAGTACTACACAATTCTTATAAATTTACATTTCTAACACCTAAAAATTCATATTTACATGCATACCAATCTAATCTTTAACATTTGGTGACTTTTAACACTAAGAGGTTTGAGTTTGTTCTGCTACTTTGTTTGAATGACGAAATTTTTCTGGTTGCAGTTTATTTTGTTGCTATTTGTTATTGGGAGTATTTATTGCTTTTGATGATTATGCAGTAGTAGAGAGTTTAGTTATTTTCTGCGAGCACTTGAGTTTGTTGTTAAAAAACCGGGCATTGACATGAACCACACAATTCTTATGTATTTGCGTAACATCTAAAAACTCATATTAGAGTGCATAAAATTAAGTTAATTGTTGCCGAGATGGGTGATTAGGTGGATGAGTGCCTTTATACTTAAAGACAAAATGCGGAATCAATATATCCGTGATAGGGTTAGTGTAGTGCCCGTGATGGACAAGATTAAAGTAGTCTTAGATGGTTTGGTCAAATTAAATGTTGCACATCTGATGATCCGATTAGAAGAGTAAATGTTTTAGATTCGACTTATATTAAGAACGGGGAATGTAGGCCTAGAATGTCTTGAGCATATTGTATAAAAAATGATCCTAATTTATTAAAATTAAATGAAAATATGACACTAAATAGGACGCAAGGATAAAGGTTTGTTGTGGTTGATATTATTAGAATGCATGAGCTCAGAAAGTGCAATTTGAGATTATTTTATTTTATTTTCATCTAATGTGTTGTGCATCGGGGCATTTTTTTTTTTTTTTTTCATTATTTTCTGTTTTTCACTCATCTTTAGTATATATTTTATTTATCAAATAAAACTTATTTAATATTTTTTTTTTCATTCTAGATGCATCTGTTCTTGTGAGTTAATTTGATCATTCTGTGGTTATGATATTAGCTTCTCCTCATATATATGGATATATTAATACTTTTGAACTACTTGGCACACGAAATAACCAGTCAAATCAGGAACTAAATAATGAACATTTTATACACTTAAAAAATGAGCTTAAATTCCTAAATTTTAATACGTTTTAAGTATATTTTTTATTAATACTTTTTAAACTACTTAGCCCACGAACTAACCAGTTAAATCAAGGGTTAGCTCAAACTTATAAGATTATTAAGCACTAATATATATATATATATATATATATATATATATATATATATATATATATATAGTAAATCACAATTTCCACAAAGATTGAGAATTCATAATAACCAATAAGTAAAAGACACATTATCAAAAAATAAAATAAAATAAAATAAAGTATTACCTATTATTAATATAGTAATTCTCAATGCTAATACAAAAACATATTATTGCAATAATGTCATGGGGGCATGTAAATAGCAAAGCTAATCACTGCTCAACCATTGCTTAAGACCTCCCTAATTATTCTCTAAACATAAGAAGTTAAATGATAATTATTAAGCAGCTCTTCTACTCCTCCATACTGATGATGCAACGCAGACCTTCGCCCTTCACCATCAAATCAAATGCTTTGTTGATTTCAGAAAAAGTTACCCTGTGGGTGATAAATTTCTCCACTTCTAATTCCTGCACATTAAACTTTATAATCTCAGCAAATTTATTGAATATTTAGATCGTTTTGAGTTATGAGAGGTTATATCTTAGCAGCATTTACATACATACCACCCAATTCCTATAAATTTACATATTTAACAACAAAATTTTAGTTTTTTATATTTATATTATATAAATCTTTAATATCATTTAAAAAGTATCACTCTAAAAAGTGAAAGATGCCTTCTCATACATAGGTAAGGTTGCATGTATGCTAAAATTAAAAATTTAGGTGTTATATGCAAATATTGAGTGGTGTGCATCTAAATCTTTCTATTTTATTTTTTTTTATCCTAAGAAGAAACTTATTGACGTTTTTATGAAGACTTGATCGGTCATATGGAGCCTAATTTTGTCCCTACGAAAAGATACCTTACATTTACGGGTCGAATGTTTCATTACATTTTTACATAAATCCTATGTATTTACATATCTAATATCTAAACATTAATTTTTTACATTTAAACCAACCAAATCTTTCATAGCACATCCAAAATACCACAAATTTAAATTTTAAAAGGTGAAATGTATTTTTATGTCTAGGTAATGGGGGTGTGCATGTAAAAATTGAAATTTAGGTGTTAGATGTTTAAAAACATTGGAATTGAATGACATGCATGCAATCCTACATTGTTTTTATTCCGCTAAAATTTTCATTAATAAAAATGAATCAGAAAAATTAAGCTTGTAATCCTCTACAACCAAATTATGGCGAAATCTTCACCTGATGAACCTATGTACAAAAATGCTTGAAATTCTTATATTTAATTACATTGATCATACAAATATATATGTTCTTTATTTTTGCTCTATATTTAAAAAGGTTTCGCATATTTCCCAACAGAATGAACAACAAAAAGATCTTGAAAGTTACCTTCTTCATGTACATGTCAACAACAGAAGGAAGGTCAGTCCTTGGCTTGTAGTTGCCAAAAAATGTTCCTTTCAGAGTTCTCTCATTCAACACATTTATAGGCTTTGTCATGAACATGGCATCCTTGTTGGGCACTCCCACCAGCACAGCAACGCCCCAGCCCTGTCATTAAAATTTATCTCAAGGGGGTTTTCTATAAAATAAAAAATAAAAAAATTACTGTGTATTTACATATCTAATACCTGAACTTTACTATTTACATCTATGCCACCAAAATTTTTCAATATCACTAATTTAACTTTTAAAAAGTAAGATACACATTTTCATGCATAGCTAAGGTGCCATGCCTGTAAAAATTGAAGTTAGGGTGATAGATATGTAAATACATAGAGATTAAGTGGGAGGTATGTAAATCTGGCAAAATTAAAATATACTCCTTAATTAACATACATCATGTACACATTCAAATGCAGAAATCATGGCATCGATATTGCCGGTGCATTCGATGCTTCGGTCAACTCCGCCATTAGTCATTTCGGCAATGACCTGTTTAAGCTCACGAGAAGCGCCATTAATGGAGTAAGGTTAGTCTCAGAATAATAAAAGCAAACGAAGTATTTAACCAAAATACTTCCAAGGGAATTTATAAACATAACACATAATTCTTACACACACAAACATACATATCAAATGCCAAAAAAAATAATATTTATTTATATAACACTCAAAGTATTAGTATCAAAACCAAAAAAACTGCTAATACTAATTTTTTTTTTGAAGGAAAATACACCTTTCCATGCATATGTTTTGATGTGGTTATGGCACTGAAGTGTTATATAAGTAAATATTAAATTTTAGGGTGTTAGATATATAGATTCATAAGAATTGTGTGATATAAATAAATTCCCCAATACTCCACACACACCTCTTGTATTGGCTTTTCATAATCCTTGGGATTCAAAAACTCGGTGAGTCCAAACTTTCTTGCTGTAAATTAGAGTGAAAAAATTGCGGTTAGAATAACTAAATGGCACAAAGAGAAGTAAAAGATACATAAATAATAGGGGTAATTGCATAAATTCCACCAAATTGTTATATTTTACCTATATAAACCTAAACTTTAATATTTACATAATTGCCACCTCACCTATACATGAAAATGTGGATTTCACTTTTAAAAAAAGTTAATATGATGATATTAATAATATTAACTTTCTTAAAAGTGAAATACACATTTTCATGTATAGATTAGTTGGCATATACGTAAATATTAAAGTTTAGATGTTAGATATGTAAATACATACAAATTGAGTGGTGTGTATGTAAAAATTCCTAAATAATAATAATAATAATAATAATAATAGGCAAAAGAGACTTAACAGGTTAGTGAGTTACCTCCCTCAAATCGGTTTGGGTTAAAGTCAACACCAATAATTCGAGATGCTCCAGCAATTCTTGCACCTTCTGCTGCCTGAAGAAATTAAAATGATCACTCTGACATAAATTTAGGCAATAATTTATAATAAGATGATAAGTAATAAGTTAAATTACTTACACCAAGACCCACAGCTCCAAGACCAAAAATGGCTACACTGGAGCCCTTTTTTGGCTTTGCTACATTGAGTGTTGCCCCCAAACCTGCAAGAATGTCTAAATTTTATAAGCTATATTCATATTTCTTCCAACATAATTCCCTTTTTCAGGCAGGATTTAGAAAAGATTTACAAGAATTTGCTTAAATCCAGGCAAAAAAAAAAAAAAAAAAAAAAAAAAGAAATCCGACTTAATTGATAAATGTCATTTAATATTGTTATTTGTTAAATCCCTTCATTCATGAGATTTAACAGATTAAAAAATTTATCCTCACATTTTAGATTTTGAAACAAATAATCAAACAATTTATCATGATTAAGTTAACTTAATAGTTTTCATGCAAAAAAGTAGTCATATTCTAATCTTCTAAAAATGTACTAAATCCGGCAAATTCGGAATACGTTAGAAATGAACTAGAGAATGGGTTTAAAACTCAAAATTTTACTCTGCATTCCATTTTCTTCAATCCAAATAACAGATTTTCATCACCCCTGCATTCAAAATACAACATGCTCATTCTGCATCAAACCTAAATAGGGATTCACGGGATTTACTAAATCTTGTAGACAAAACAGTCCCAAAAAACTTGAGGGAAATGATTAGAAGTAAAAGGGAAATTTATGTATATACCAAACAGTTCTTATGGATCATATCCAACACCTAAGATTTGATATTAACATTTATCAAAAACTTATGCATGAGAAGGTGTGTTTCACTTTTAAAAAGTTAGGGACAGTGCTATTTTTGATGTGATGTAAGAAATTCAAGTGTGCAAAAATGAAAGTTTAGGAGTTCAATACACAAATATATGAGAACTGGGTGGTATGCTTGTAAACACTTTGAAATAAAATTAAAAAAATAGCTACAAGTAATCGTGCAATTACCTGTGGAAATCCCACAACTAAGAACACAAACTTTGTCGAGAGGAGCAGATGGCTCGATCTTGGCAAGACAACCAACATGAATGACTGTGTATTCACTAAACGTGGAAGTTCCTAAAAAGTGGTTGATGGGGGTGTTCCTTGCACAAAATCTTGATTTTCCATCACTTAGCATTACACCTCTATCAGTATTAATCCTGAGCAAATCACACATATTGCTCTCTTCTGATTTACAATGTACGCACTCCTTGCATTCTCCTGTGAATACAGGAAGAACATGGTCTCCTTCCTTGAGATCTGTCACGCCTTCGCCAACACTTTCCACGATGCTGTAAAGAACAAATAAACATGCTATTTTAAAGTGATTTAAGAGGAAAAAGATGGAATGTTTGATGTTAGGAAGATTTACATGCATACCTCCCAATTCCTATGTATTTACATATCTAACATTTCGGGGCTATTTGGTAGAGGCATTTAATAGGAGTTATCAAAGAATTTCTAAATCCAGCCAAACAACAAAATTCAGTTCCATGGATTTAAGAATTTTTGGATTTAGTAAATCCAATTTTGCCTTCGAATCACCCGAAATCTGAATTTACTAAGGATGGGTGGATTTATGAATTTACGGATTTACTAAATCCAACTTACATTAAATTCTACTTGCAGCCAAGCAAAGCCCTTAAACTTCTATTTTTACATGGATGTCACCTTACCTATGAATGAAAACAAGTATTTCACTTTTTAAAAATTAAATTAATGGTGTTTTTGATGGGACATGAAAACTTTTGGTGGTATAAATATAAGAGATAAAGTTTAGGTGTTAGATATGTAAATACATAGGAACTTGGTGGTATGTATGCAAATGCTCCTTGATATTATTATCATCAAGTTCTAGGGTTTTTCATACTGTTCTTCAGCTCAAATAAAGAAAGATTTGGCGAAAGAAACAAAAACTCTTTTTGGAAATATAACAACACAATTAGAACCATTTTAAGTTTCAAAATAACACAAACTAGATTGCTTTCATATATATATATATATAAATCTAGCATTCTACTAGCTTGATATAAACTCATTTGAGTAAGCAAACTTACCCTGCAGCTTCGTGGCCAAAAATGCGAGGAAATAAGGGATTCTGGCCCTGAAAGAAGAGAACAATATTGTTAGAATTTATTAATATTACTATCTGCATGTTTAGTTTGTCTTAAGATTTTTTTGTTGACTTATACAACAAAATATTTTGAATTTATATTTTATCCATAAAATTATAATAGGTATTGAGGAAATTTATGTCTCATTTACAATGATAATTGTTCTTCTAATCACATAAATGTTTAAGGTATTGCTTTTATATTATACAATTTTACAAAAAAAATATTTGTTATTAATGTACCATATGCAAATCAACATTATGTAAATTTATACAATTAAAATATGACTGACCTTAATTTTTTCAAATAACTCCCATATAACATAAGAAAATTGCAAATTTGAAACGATCATATCCAATATAGATATAAAGAAAGTGGGTCTCATAACATGCAAATCCCAATAAAGCAGGCTCTACCTACTCCCACTTAATTATTTTCCAATAAAATCAAAGTATTAATGATAAAAATTCCTTTAATTGCCATATCACAAACTCCTTTATCCAACTAAGCCGAGAATATATTGAAACATAATCCAAAAAGTTAATATGATTCTCTTTAACAATAATGGGATTTATTTATTTATTTTTACCAATTTTAGACATGATTTAAACAAGATTAATTTGTAGTGAATTTTGACGATTTCAAATCCTACCGCTTTAATATATCTCATTGCAGCTCCATTATTTATTAAATTCAAGACATTACAAACCCCACTATACATAAGTTTTTATGGATTTAAAAATTCCCATCTCTCAGAAATCAAAAATCCTAAAACCAATAGTCTGTCAAACAATTTACCCTGAATTAGTTACCCCCGTAATTGCCATGTTTAAATCCTCTCAAATTTCGCTGCACTAAATCCTACCAGAATTAAAACCTATTTGTATCCAAACAGCCACAAATAACTAAGATTTACTCGTGTAATTACTAGAAGAAATTAATAAGGTCACAGAAGTAGTAAACAATTCAAAAGGCTAAAGAAGAGAGAAATTGCCTTAGCCTCCCAGAAGTAAAGATCGGTGTGGCAAAGCGAAGTGTACTTGATCTTAACCCTAACCTCCATCGCTTGTGGCGGCGCCACCTCCACCTTCTCGATCACCAGCGGCTTACCAGCCTCCCAACAAACCGCCGCTGCCGCCCACAACCGGAAAAGATAATAATAATAATAATAATAAACCTCAAAATCAGCCCTATCAGCACCATAAACAGAACGGAAAAACAGAAAAAGGAAGAAAATAGAAGAAATCTACCATTGCAGATGATCGGAATGCCCACAGTGCCCGCCATTGCAGTTCAAAGATCAATCGAATGATTCTTCAAAATGGAGAATTTCGCGATATTTTATCTACAGGGATTATTAGGTGCTGTGGACATCTGTCCTGGCAGTGGATTTTCTCAAGCGACGGGAGGAAACGTGCAGTGAAAAGCTTAATAAGTTGCATCCTTGACGCCTCAAGGGCACGTGTATTATGAACTTAATATTATGAATAAAATATTCAATCATATATATATATATATATATAACACCGCGTACTCAGATTAGTTGGTCGGACATCTGCTTGTATATATATATATATACTGTATAGCCATAAATATTTTTCATGGGTCAATGCATATGTTAGCAGGCCTCTTCGGACTAGAGAGCCCTATTTTCTCCAAGACATGGAAACCATTGTGTGCTAATTGCTGACATCGTTTGCCGACCACACCTGCTAATTTGCCAACCATTAGTACCAGTTGTCGAAGTGACCTGCCAAGGTTACCCGTCGATCTTTCTGCATCATCCATCGAGATTAGCCAATCACTGAAGTCAAGGACATGTGTCGATGCCTATTTATTGATTGCTTGACACTCATGTCCACGTCTTCTCGATATGATATCACGAACAAGACTTGTATTGTATGATCCAAGGTTTATTTATTTATTTTTTTTTCCCTTCAATGGTTGGACAAGGATGGGAGACTAGATATATATATATATATATCCCCTTCAATGGTTGGACAGGGATGGGAGACTAGATATATATATATATAAATGGTGACAACACCCACCATTCAGAAGAATCACATCCCATCTCCTCTAACTGTTACCCATCATTTCTTCCAAGTCCTTATTTTATTCTAAGGGATGTAGGGGATTTCCAACCTATTTTTCCTTCGTCAACACATTTCTCCTAGGCTGTTTGAGCCCATGAACAATACATGAGTACACGTCTTTAAGAAGTCAACATATATTATAGTTTTAATTTTGTATATTTGAGCATGTGATGACCGGTTTTTGTGTATGCGTTGTAAATATCTTTCAA